CTCCGCCCGGCGCCCCTTGGTCTGGCAACGAATGAAAAGTTCATTACCACATTTTAGACCACGTTAGGTAGGGTGGGGCTTAATCTTTGGCTTTAATTTCTTCAATATTTCTATTTTCAATTTTTCTTCGATTTTTCAATTTTTCGATATTTTTATTTTAGAATTTTTCAATATCGATTTTTCGATTTCTCGATTTTTTACTTTTTGGAATATTTGATGCTTCGATTTCTCGATTTTTCAGTTTTTGAATTCTTCAATTTTTCCGATATTTTAATATTTCAATTTTTAAAATTTTGATTTTCCATTTCCCGATGTTTGAACTTTGCAGTCTGTTTTTTCCATTTTTCAAAATTTTAAATTTTAGTTTGTTCAGTTTTTTGATGTTTAGATTCGTCGACTCCTCGGTTTTAGATTTTCCGATCTTTCAATTTTTTGAATTTATTAAGTTTTTTGTTTCTCGATTTTCCAATTTTTCAATTTATCGATATTTTTGTTTTAAGATTTTTCAATATTAAATGTTTCAATTTTTTACTTTTTCGAATTTCCATTTTTTGAGTGTCCAATTTTAGGTTTTCCAATTTTTAGATTGTTTGATCCTTGAGTTCCTCAATTTTTCAATATTTTAATATTTCAATTTTTAATTGCGGCATTCAGGCAAGACTATCATTACGGGTATTAAGACCAAGTAATGATATGCATTGATTATTATTATTATTATTATTATTTAATTTTTTTATTCTTAAAAATTTTTCGATTTATTAAAGCTTTTTTTTTCGATTTTTTTTGTTTAAAAATTTTTCAACTTTTTATTTTTCGATTTGAGTATTTCATTTTCTTCGCCCTATCTCAATTGTGATTATTTTTTTTTATTCGCCGTGAACCAAGCTCAACTGCAAAATACTTATTTCTTTACAAAAAATTAAAAACATGCTGTTCAAAAAGTATCATGTATATTAAGAAAAAATGACAAAATTTAAACCCCGCCCACCCACCCTATTTCAATTGTGATGATTTTTTTTATTCCTAGAAACTCAAAACGTGTTTAAGATGGTAAATTTTTGTAGGGAAATATGGATTTTGCAATTAGGCTCCGCCCCTTGGTCTGGCAACGAATAAAAAGTTCATTACTAGATTTTAGATCAGGTTAGGTAGGGTGGGGCTTAATCTTTGTCTTTAATTTCTTCAATATTTCTATTTTCAATTTTTCTTCGATTTTTCAATTTTTCGATATTTTTATTTTAGAATTTTTCAGTATTTCGATTTCTCGATTTTTTACTTTTTCGAATATTTGATGCTTCGATTTCTCAATTTTTCAGTTTTTGAATTCTTCAATTTTTCCGATATTTTAATATTTCAATTTTTAAAATTTTTGATTTTTCCATTTCCCGATGTTGGAGCTTTTCAGTCTGTTTTTTCCATTTTTCAAAATTTTAAATTTTAGTTTGTTCAGTTTTTTGGTGGTTAGATTTGTCGACTCCTCGGTTTTAGATTTTCCGATCTTCCAATTTTTTCGGTTTATTAAGTTTTTTGTTTCTCGATTTTCCAATTTTTCGATTTATCGATATTTTTGTTTTAAGATTTTTCAATATTAAATGTTTCAATTTTTACTTTTTCGAATTTCCATTTTTTGAGTGTCCAATTTTAGGTTTTCCAATTTTTAAATTGTTTGATCCTTGAGTTCCTCAATTTTTCAATATTTTAATATTTCAATTTTTAATTGCGGCATTCAGGCAAGACTATCATTACGGGTATTAAGACCAAGTAATGATATGCATTGATTATTATTATTATTATTATTATTTTTTATTCTTAAAAATTTTTCAACTTTTTATTTTTCGGTTTGAGTATTTCATTTTCTTCGCCTTATCTCAATTGTGATTATTTTTTTTTTATTCGCCGTGAACCAAGCTCAACTGCAAAATACTTATTTCTTTACAAAAAATTAAAAACATGTTTTTGCGTATCATGTTGTTGAAAAAGTATCATGTATATTAAGAAAAAATGACGAAATATAAGCCCCGCCCACCCACCCCAGCTCGATTGTGATGATTTTTTTATGCTTAGAAATTTAAAACGCGTTTAAAATGGTAAATTTTTGTAGCCAAGTTTGGATCTTGCAATTAAGCTCCTCCCCTTGATCTGGCAACGAATGAAAACTTCAATACTACATATTTAGATCAGGTCAGATATGAGGAGGGCTCAATCTTTGGCTTTAATTTCTTCAATATTTCTATTTTTCTTCGATTTTTCAATTTTCGATATTCTTGTTTTAGGATTTTTCAACATTTCGATTTCTCGATGTTTTACTTTTTCGAATTTCAATTTTTGGTGTTTTGAATTTTAGATTTTCCAATTTTTCGATTTTTTGAGGCTTTGATTTCTCGATTTTTCAGTTTTGAATTCTTAAATTTTTTCGATATTTTAATATTTCGATTTTTAAAATTTTAAATTTTTCGTATTTCTCCATTTTTGGACTGTTCAGTTCTTCGATGTCTGTTTTTTTTTCATTTTTCGAAATTTTAAATTTTAGTTTATTCAGTTTTTCGAGTTTTCGTTTTATCGACATTTTTTTTATTTAAAAATTCTCAATTTTTCTGTATTTTTGTTTTAAGGATTTTTCCATTTCTCGATTTTTACTTTTTCGAATTTCAGTTTTTGAAGTTTGAATTGATTTTCCAATTTTTCGATTTTTTGAGGCTTCCATTTCTCGATTTTTCAGTTTTTGAATTCTTCATTTTGTCAACATTAATATTTCAATTTTTAAAATATTAAATTTTTCGTATTTCTTGATTATTGGACTGTTCTTCGATGTCTGTGTTTTCCACTTTTCGAAATTTTAAATTTTAGTTGGGTCAGTTTTTTGATGTTTCGATTTGTCGGTTCCACGGTTTTAAATTTTCCGGATTTTCAATTTTTCGATTTATTAAAGTTTTTTATTTCTCGATTTTCCAGTTTTTCGATTTTTCGAATTATCGACATTTTTTAAATTTAAAAGTTCTTCAATTTTTCTGTATTTTTGTTGTAAGGATTTTTCAATATTTCGATTTTTACTTTTTCGAATTTCAGTTTTTGAAGTTTGAATTTTAGATTTTCCAATTTTTCGATTTTTTGAGGCTTCGATTTCTCGATTTTTCAGTTTTTGAATTCTTAAATTTTTTCGATATTTTAATATTTCAATTTTTAAAATTTCAAATTTTTCGTATTTCTCGATTTTTGGACTGTTCACTTCTTCGATGTCTGTTTTTTTTTCCATGTTTCGAAATTTTAAAGTTTAGTTTGTTCAGTTTTTTGATGTTTCGATTTATCGACTGCTCGGTTTTAGATTTTCCAGTTTTTCAATTTTTCAATATATTAAAGTTTTTTATTTCTCGATTTTCCAGTTTTTCGATTTTTCGATTAATCGACATTTTTTTTATCTAAAAATTCTTCAATTTTTCTATATTTTTGTTTTAAGGATTTTTCAATATTTCGACTTTTCCATTTCTCGATTTTTACTTTTTCGAATTTCAGTTTTTGAATTGTTAAATTTTTTCGATATTTTAATACTATTTCAATTTTTAAAATTTTAAATTTTTCGATTTCTCGATTTTTGAACTTTTCAGTTCTTCGATATCTGTTTTTTACATTTTTCCAAATTTTAAATGTTAGTTTGTTCAGTTTTTCGATTTTTCGATTTATAGACATTTTTTTAATTTAAAAATTCTTCAATTTTTCTATATTTTTGTTTTAAGGATTTTTCAATATTTCGATTTTTCCATTTCTCGATTTTTTACTTTTTCGAATTTCAGTCTTTGAAGTTTGAATTTTAGATTTTCCAATTTTTTGATTTTTTGAGGCTTCGATTTTTCGATTTTGAGCTTTTGAATTCTTCAATTTTTCGATATTTTAATATTTCAATTTTTAAAATTTTAAATTTTTAGTATTTCTCGATTTTTGGACTGTTCAGTTCTTCGATGTCTGTTTTTTTTTTCCATTTTTCGAAATTTTACATTTTAGTTTGGTCAGTTTTTTGATGTTTCGATCTGTCGACTCCTCGATTTTAGATTTTCCGGTTTTTCAATTTTTCGGTTTATTAAACTTTTTTATTTCTCAATTTTCCAGTTTTACGATTTTTCGATTTATCGACATTTTCTTTATTTAAAAGTTTTTCAGTTTTTCTATACTTTTGTTTTCAGGATTTTTCAATATTTCGATTTTTCCAATTCTCGATTTTTACTTTTTCGAATTTCAGTTTTTAAAGTTTGAATTTTAGATTTTCCAATTTTTCGATATTTTAATATTTCAATTTTTGAAATTGTAAATTTTTCGTATTTCTCGATTTTTGGACTGTTCAGTTCTTCGATGTCTGTTTTTTTTCCATTTTTCCAAATTTTAAATTTTAGTTTGTTCAGTTTTTTGATGTTTCGATTTATCGACTGCTCGGTTTTAGACTTTCCGGTTTTTCAATTTTTCAATATATTAAAGTTTTTTATTTCTCGATTTTCCAGTTTTTGAGTGTCGTCTTGTTGAAAAAATAGTATGTATATTAAGAAAAAAAAAGACAAAACATAAAAAAAGGTAAATTTTTGTAGGGAAATATGGATTTTGCAATTAGGCTCCGCCCCTTGGTCTGGCAACGAATGAAAACTTCATTACTACATATTTAAATCAGGGCAGCTATGGGTGGGGCTTAATCTTTGGCTTTATTTTTTTTGTTTGAGCAATACGATACTCAAAAATGTGTTTTTAATTTTTCGTATAAAAATAAAGATTTTGCAGTTAAGTTCCGCCCTCTTGGCTTACAACGAATAAAAAAATCATCACAATTGAGACAGGGTGGGTGGGCGGGGCTACATTTTACCTTGTTTTCTTAATATGTGTAGACTTATTTCGACAACAAGAAACTTAAAACAACAGCAATTTTCAGCTCTAAAAACAACATCTGTGGGAACAGCAATGTCAACAGCAAATTTATAAATCCCATTTTAAAGGAATTTTGTGTTGCATTTATTGACTTGTAGATGATCCGCCACCGTTCATAGATGGCGTTAAAATTAACAGTCCTCACTACTTGGTCAAAATCATTCTGGGTCCTGGAAGTAGCAGTAAATATACCATTGTTATATCACAGTATGAAAAAAGCACCACTATTTATTACACGCTGAGGGCTTACGCCACTTGCCCTTTTACCTTACGCAAAATTGGAGACCCTTACAAACACCAGAAGCAAGTAAGTACTGGTATCCCCTCCGGAAAACTGATGACGTCATCGCAAAATTTGGTCAGGTGACAGGCGAGTGGCAAGGAGTGACCGCCGGCGGCTGCCCCAACCACCCCCTCACATTCAAAAACAACCCGAAATTCCGCTTGGAGCTAGAAGGCGCCACGAATCAAGTTTTCGTGGAACTGAAAGGGCCTAAACAGTACCAGATGGGAATCGAAGCGGCCATTATTAAAATTAATGACGACACTATTACGGCACCATTTAAATCAAGGTCGTCAGGGGCTTACAGGTTTGTACTTGTTACCAAAGTAACTCTATATAACTGGTAGTTGTAGATCCGGCTATGTGATACTAGAACTAGAGAACATACCATCAGGAGTGCTGCAGATCATCCCGTCCACGTTTCTACCAGCTCAAGAAGGCCCCTTCATTCTTCTGGCAAAGTCATCAGCACCACTACACCTCACGAGAATTTAAAATGTATTAACGCTTACGCTGTGATTATACACAATGCCTTTATTTCTATGTCCGGTGTTTTTATTGTGTTTATACTTGTTGAAGCTTTGAATAAATTTTATAGAAATTTTTGGAAATTTTTAAAATGGATGCCGACGCGCAGGACTGCCACTACACGGGTGACTAGATCGACGAATCGCACAGCTAGAACACAATATTTGGACAAATCCCCAAAATTTGACCCGTTCTGTGTTACAAATATAAAACTGTGTTATTTGTTTGAATTTTTCCGCAATGTCGATCATTATAAAACAACCGAGTGGAAATTTTTAAACTGGTGACAGACAGGGCTGCCACTACGCACGCGTCAATTACCCAACGACCTCAACCATCAACAGTGTCCAGCTAGTTCGGTCAATTTTTACAAAACGACGCTGAAACCAAAAATAAAACTCTACAACAAAATTTAAATATAAGTTTATTTAATTGTACAGTAAATTAAGTCTATTCAGCATGTCCGACTTCATCGAATCGGAAGCCGAAGAGAGCGAGGTAACTGTGTCGTAATTGTCATATTGGTTACAATTTTTCCACAATTTTGCCCAATTTAACCCCCTTGTTGTGGTCGTTCGGACCCACCAGCGCAACTTAAGCGAAATCGCAACAAAAATTCGAGCGCTCGACAAGTTTGTGTAACCTAACCTCACTTTCCAGGAGGAGGAGTTGGAGCCCCATGAGCGCAAAAAGCTCAAGAAAGTCAAAGCGATGGACAGCTCGGACGAGGATGAGGAAGGTAAAGCGAGCCGCGTTGTTTGGCTTTGATTAACAGTTTTTAGACGACGATGAACGTCTGCGTGAGGAACTCAAAGACTTGATTGATGATAATCCGATCGAGGAGAGCGAGGGCGAGGACTCGGACGCGTCGGGGCGCGAGAAGCGCAAAAAGTCGGACGACGAGCTCGACGACAGGTTGGAGGACGAGGACTATGACTTGATCGAAGAAAATTTAGGGGTGAAAGTCGAGCGACGGGTTAGACTTTAGTATACTGGAAAGCCGGAGTAGTAATGAGGGGTTTTAGAAATTCAAGCGGTTGCGTCGGATTCAGGATGAGGAGAGCGACGGCGAGGACCAAGGGGACGAGAGCCAGGACCGCGACGCCATCGCCATGGACTTGTTCTCAGACGACGTAAGTGTGAAGGCGTGTTTTTATCTAGGTGGTCTGTACTTAAAAAAAATCTAATTTCATGGTTTTACAAGGAAAGAGAGGATCAAAATCAACGAAAGGTAACGATTTTGTGAATTGCTCAATTATGGAAGTGGTGTTTGTGGCGGCTTATTCTATTTTGATTTTTCGCTCTAGGACGATGAGAGGCGCTCGGAGCGGAGTCACAGGCCGGCGGTGGAGCCCGAGCAGTCGTACGAGGAGGAAGAAGAAGGCGATTATTCGGACGCGGACGACTTCATCGTGGACGACGACGGCAGACCCATCGCGGAAAAAAAGAAAAAGCGGAAACCGATCTTCACCGATGCGTAAGATTTTAATTTTTTCGGTTTTGGTTGACCAGAGTCACACTTGATAACGTTTTAGCAGTTTGCTACGCAGTAAAGATAAAGTGTTCAGAAGGTTTGTTAATTATTTGGTAGCTCAATAGTGATTTTAATCTAGACTCAGCTGCTACTAATTTTAAACTAAACACACTTCTCTTGTGTCTTTTTTCTACGTGTCAGCCCCGTAGCTACGGGGGGGCAAGAGGGGGCTGAGCCCCCCCTAGCAGTTGTGGTTGCCCCCCCTGGAAGACTTATACATTATAAATTTCAAATTAGCAATAAAATTTCAATATAATGCCGATTGCCGAAGCATATTAACTGGCCCCACCCGCCCCACCTTTATTTTCGTACAGGGTATATTATTTGGCAATATCACCTTACCGTTGATGTTGACCGTATAAAAAAATGAACATGTCACATTTTATTCCATAGCCAACTATGTAGGTACTTGAGAAAAGTCAAAAATATTATATGGATTTTCTAAAAATTGAGCTTTTATTGAAATGGACAAAAAATGGACAAAAAATTCTGAGATGTAGATCTCGATAAGCTTAATCAAAAAACATAAGGTCTTGATGGTCCCAGACCAAGATTTTTCAAAAATTCGGTTCCAAAGTCGACATTTCAAAATTTCTGAAAAATTACATTTCTTTTGGCGGCTCTGGAAAAATTGTACGAATTTTCGAAAAAATAAAACCAAAAAAAAACATTTGGAGATCGAAATCAATAAAAAGATCCCTTCTGCTAGTTTTCGAAAATACGTGGGAAAAGTCAAATTTTTTTTATAGATTTTCAAAAATTGAGCTTTTGTTGAAATTGGCTGAAAATCTACAAAAAATTCTGAGATGTAGATCTCGACGAGTTTAGTCAAAAAACATAAGGTCTTGCTGCTATTCGGTTTCCAAGTCGACTTTTTAAAATTTCTCAAAAATTATACTCCTATTTCTTTTGACGATTCTAGAAAAATTTTACAAATTTTCGATCAAATAAAACCAAAAACAACATCTGAAGATTGAAATAAATAAAAGAATGACTTCTGGTAATTTTTGGAAATGCTAAGAAAAGTCAAAATTTATTTAGTTTTCAAAAATTGAGCTTTTGTTAGAGTTGACAAAAAATTCTGAAATATAGATCTCGATGAGCTTAATCGAAAAACATGTTCATGCTCCCGGAGCAAAATTTACGAAATATTGGGTTCTACCTAAAATTTCTAAAAATCTCAAAAGTGACTTAAAAAAAAGTTATTTCTTTATGCGATTGTGGAAAAATTCGACGAAATATCAAAAAAATAAAACCAAAAATAACATCTGTAGATCGAAATCAATAAAGAGATCCCTTTTGCTAATTTTCGAAGATGCTTGGGAAAAGTCAAAAAATGTATATGGATTTTCAAAAATTGAGCTTTTGTTGAAATTAACAAAAAATCAACAAAAAATTCCGAGATGTAGATCTCGATGAGCTTAATCCAAAAACATAAGGCCTTGATGGTCCCAGACCAAGATTTTCGAAAAATTCGGTTTCAAAGTCGACATTTCAAAATTTCTCAAAAATTACATTTCTTTTGGCGGCTTTGTAAAAATTGTACAAATTTTCGAGAAAATAAAACCAAAAACATTTGGAGATCGAAATCGATAAAGAGATCCCTTTTGCTAATTTTCGAAAACGGTTGGGAAAAGTCATAAACATTTTATAGATTTTCAAAAATTTAGCTTTTGTTGAAGTTGACTAAAAATCCACAAAAAAATCTGAAATGTTGATCTCGACGAGCTCAATCAAAAAACACAAGGTCTAGATGGTCCTAGATCAAGATTTTCGAAACATTCGGTTTCAAAGTTCAAAAATTACATTTCGTTTGGCGATTGCTGAAAAATTTTACGACTTTTCAACCAAATAAAACCAAAAACAACATCTGGAGATCGAAATCAATAAAGGAATCCCTTTTGGTAATCTCGAACGTGCTTGAAAAAAGTCAAAAATTTGATACAGGTTTTCAAAAATTGCCATATTTGTTCCGTCGATTCTGGAAAAATTGTAAGAATTTTCAAAAAAATTGAATCCAAAACGATTTTTGGAAGTCGAGATATGAACAAAGGAGTCTCTTTTGATAATTTTTAAAAATGCTTGGGAAAAGTCAAAAATTTTATATGGGTTTTCAAAAATTGAACTTTCGTAAAAGTTGACAAAAAATTCTGAAATATAGATTTGGACGAGCTTAAAAAAAGATGACAGGTTCATGGTTCCGGATCAAAATTTTCGAAATACTCGGTTTCGAGCTCGAATTTTCAAAATTTCTCAAAAATTACCATATTTCTTTTGGCGATTGTGGAAAAATTGTACGAATTTTCGAAAAAATAACCAAAAACAACATCTGGAGATCGAAATCAATAAAGGAATCCCTTTTGGTAATCTCGAACGTGCTTGAAAAAAAGTCAAAAGTTCTCAAAAATGGCCATATTTCTCCCGTCGATTCTGGAAAAAAAGTTAGAATTTTCAAAAAAATTGAATCCAAAACGATTTCTGGAAATCGAGATGAACAAAGGAATCTCTTTTGGTAATTTTCGAAAATGCTTGGGAAAAGCCAAAAATTTTATATGGGTTTTCAAAAATTGAACTTTCGTAAAAGTTGACAAAAAATTCTGAAATATAGATTTGGACGAGCTTAAAAAAACATGACAGGTTCATGGTTCCGGATCAAAATTTTCGAAATACTCGGTTTCGAGCTTGAATTTTCAAAATTTCTCAAAAATTACCATATTTCTTTTGGCGATTATGGAAAAATTGTACGGATTTTCGAAAAAACAACCAAAAACAACATCTGGAGATCGAAATCAATAAAGGAATCCCTTTTGGTAATTTCGAATGTGCTTGAAAAAAGTCAAAAATTTGATACAGGTTCTCAAAAATTGCCATTTTTCTTCCGTCGATTCTGCAAAAAATGTAAGAATTTTCAAAAAAATTGAATCCAAAACGATTTTTGGAAGAAATCGAGATGAACAAAGGAATTCTTTTGGTAATTTTCGAAAATGCTTGGGAAAAGTCAAAAATTTTATATGGGTTTCCAAAAATTGAGCTTTTGTTAAAGTTGACAAAAAATTCTGAAATACACATCTCGACGAGTTTAAAAAAACATGACGAGTTCATGGTTCCGTACCAAAATTTTCAAAATATTTGGTTTCGAAGTCGGATTTTTAAAACATGTACTAAACATGCAAAAAAATAAATTCAAACAAATTGGATGTTACCTATATGGTCACTACACAAATTTTTGGATGCAGTACAGCTGTTTGTGAATCTACATTCTCTGTTTTAACCAGCATTTTAACCAAGTACCGTACTAATTTTTTGGACTTCGACAGGTTTTTACGAAAATTTAGCGTAAAAAATCGACGTTTCCAATTATTTTAATGTTCTTTCAAATATAAAAACTCAGAAAAAATAAAGTAGTTATCTGAGTGTATTATTAAAATATAATTATTTACATGAAGCCCCCTCTGTCGACAAACTTGCCCCCCCTGAATAAGTTTTCTAGCTACGGGGCTGCGTGTCGTCGCTGTAGATACTAGAGTAGTCAATTTCAGAGCGCTCCAAGAAGCCCAGGAGACCTTCGGCGTCGACTTCGACTACGACGAGTTCTCCAAGTACGAGCAAGACGACTACGAGGAAGACGAAGAGGAGGAGGACGAGTACGAAGAAGACGAAGAAGGCGGGGAGCGTCGAAGACGCCCGAAGAAAACCGCGAGAAAGAAACCCACGAAGAAGTCCATTTTCGAGGTTTATGAACCCAGCGAGCTTAAACGGGGCTTCTTCACGGACCTGGATAACGAAATTCGAAATACCGATATCCCGGAAAGAATGCAAATCCGCGAAGTCCCGATTACGTCAGTCCCGGAAGATTCCACAGAGTTGGACGTGGAAGCCGAATGGATTTACAAGCAGGCGTTTTGTAAGTCCACGGTGTCCAATATGGACGCCAATCTGACCGCAGAAGCCCGAGAAAGACAGAAAAAGGGCCCCCAGACAGTCGGCAAAATCCGGAAGGCCCTCGACTTCATGCGAAACCAGCAGCTGGAAGTCCCGTTTATCGCGTTCTATCGCAAGGAGTACGTCCAACCCGAGTTAAACATCAACGATTTGTGGAAAGTATACAAGTATGACGCGAAATGGTGCCAACTTAAAAGTCGCAAAGAAAACTTGATGGCTTTGTTTGAGAAAATGCGGTCATACCAACTCGACCAAATTATGAAAAACCCGGATGCCCCGATTCCTGAGAACGTTCGTCTGATTAGAGACTCCGACATCGATCGGCTGAACACCGTCCAAACTGCCGAAGAGTTACAGGATGTTCATAACCATTTCGTTCTTTATTACGCGTCGGATTTACCAGCAATGCATGCCGCCTGGAGACTCAAGGAAAAAGAAAGGAAGAAACAGGAGAAGAGGGCGGCGAGGTTAAAACTGATAGCGGAGAGCGAAGACGGCGCCGATATTCCCGAAGAACCCGACGACGACATGGATGACGAACCCGAGCCCGAAACACTAAAGTATGCCAACCGCTCGGGTTCTTACACCCTCTGCACTAAAGCAGGCCTTGACGCTCTGGCTAAGCGCTTCGGTTTAACCCCCGAGCACTTCGCCGAGAACCTCCGGGACAACTACCAGCGACACGAAGTGGAGCAAGAGCCCGTCGAGCCTCCAGACGTCGCCAGACAATTCCTCTGCCCGAAATTCTCCACCGTCGACGAGGTTCTCCAAGCCGCCAAGTACATGGTGGCTCTACAAATCGCTAGAGAGCCCCTAGTGAGGAAATGCGTCCGCGAGGTCTTCTTCGAGCGGGCGAAAATGACAGTCCGGCCGACGAAAAAAGGAATGAAAGTGATCGACGAAACCCACAATTGCTACTCCATGAAGTATATCAAGGATAAGCCGGTGAGGGACTTGACTGGTGATCAGTTTCTGAAGTTGACGCTAGCGGAGGAAGAGAATTTGTTGACGGTGACGATCAACGAGCACGTGGAGGGGAACACGTCGTCGTCGTACATCGACGAAGTGAAGCAGTTGTATATTAGGGTAAGGGAGAGTTGGGGTTTTTCGGGTTGTTAACTTTGGGGTTTTAGGACGAGTTCAGTAAGAACGTGCAGGATTGGAACGCGTTGCGGATGGAGTGTGTGGAGAGGGCGCTGACGAGGTGCGTCTTGCCGGATTTGCGGTCGGAGTTGAAGAGGATTTTGTTGGCTGAAGCGAAGGAGTCGGTTTTGAAGGCGTGTTGCAGGAAGTTGTATAATTGGATTAAGGTAAGGATGTGATTGGTTGTAGGTGGTAAGATATAAGATATTAATCGAAATTTGTGTGATCATCCCCGCTAAAATTTGATGACCTGTTACTTAAGTCATGGCTTAATTTTTTTCGATGTATCTTCTTATTTTTCCCCCCAACTTTTCCCGCTCCCTTCTTTTACTTTACACTCCTCTGTTCCCCTTCGCCACTTTTTTCTATTTTTCTCCCGTTTTTTCGTCACTTTTGTCGCTTTTATTACGCCTTTTTGTTATCTACTTTTTCTCCTCTCTTAATCAAAATTTGTCAGTTCATGCACCCAGAAATTCATGATATCATCTTATAGTTTTGTCAACTAAATGCTATTTAAATGTTAAAAAGTAACAAGTCCTGAAGTTGTGGTTTACAAATCCGTTATGAATTTTTTTCCTAGATGTAGAGATTTTTGGGGGAAAAAATGAAAAATTGTAGGTATAACAATTTTTCGAATTTTCAACTTTTCGGCGTTTTAATTTCTCAATTTTGAACTTTTTCGTTTTTCGATTTTTACTTTTTTGATTTTTCAGTTTTCAGATTTCCGATTTTCAGTTTTGGGATTTTGCCATATTTCTATTCCTTATTTTTTTTTTTCGATGTCTGTTTCTTGTTTTTTTATATTTTAATTTTTCAATTTTTAAAATTTTAGATTTTTCAATTCTTCATTTTCTTAGTTCATCAAATTTTCGATTTTTTCATTTTTCGATTTCTCAATTTTCAGTTTCACAATTCTAAATTTGAATTTTTCGGTTTTTCAGTTTTTCAATTTCCCAAGTTTTTGTCTTCACTTTTTGAGTTATTCAATTTTTGGATTTCTCAATTTCCAATGTTTCAGTTTTACGATTTTTCGATTTTTAAATTTTTCAGTTTTTGACGTTTCCAAATTTTCAATTTTTGGTGTTATAAATTTCTCGGTTCTTTGATTTTTTGATTTACCTGTTTCTCGATCTCTCGACTTTTCTGTTTTTCAATTTATTTTTGTAATTCTAGTTTTTTTGATTCTTCATTTTCTTGGTTCTTCAAATTTTCGATGTCCCAAATTTTTCATTTTTCGATTTCTAAATTTTCCGGTGTTTTAGGTCTATAATTTCTCAATTTTTCGACTCTTGAATTTTTCGATTTTTCTTTTCAATTTTTCAATGCCCCCCCCCCCCCTATATTTCGTCATTTCAGTTTTTGAAATTTTCAGTTTTTCAAATTTTCGATTTTTCAGTTTTTGACTTTTCCAGATTTTCAATTTCTCGATTAATTGATTTTTTGATTTTCCTATTTTTCGATTTATCGACTTTTCCGTTTTTCAATTTATTTTTATAATTCTAGATGTTTTCATTTCTCAGTTTTCCGATGTTTCAGTTTTTCAATTTCTCAATTCTTCGACTCTTCAATTTTTCCGATTTCTCAATTTCTCCATTAATTGATTTTACGATTTTCCCATTTCTCAATTTCTCGACTTCTCAATGTTTCAATTTTTCGATTTTCACTTTTTTTGGTTTATTAAATTTTCAATTTCTCAATTTTTTGATTTGTTAATTTTCGATTTCTCAATTTTTCGATATTTTAATTTTTGAATTTTTAAGATTCTAGATTTCGATTCTTACATTTTTTCGGTTCTTCAAATTTTCGATTTTTTCATTTTTTGATATCTCTATTTTACGATTTTTCAGTTTTCCGATTTTTCGTAATTTCAGCTTTTGAATTTTTCAATTTTTGGATTTTTCAGTTTTTCTTCAAATTTTCGGTTTCTCAATTTTACGATGTTTCAGTTTTACGATTTTGCAATTTTTCGACACCAATTTTTTTTTTGAAATTTTTCAGGTTTTGACGTTTCTAAATTTTCAATTTTCCGATTTGTTAATTTCTCGGATATTTGATTTTTTGATTTTCCTCTTTCTCGATTTCTCGACTTTTCTGTTTTTCGAATTTTCAATTTTTTAATTTCTAAATTTTTTGATATCTTAGTTTTGGGATTTTTCAATTTTTCGGTTTTTCAATTTTTGACTTTTCCAGATTTTCAATTTCTCGATTAATTGATTTTTTGATTTTCCTATTTTTCGATTTATCGACTTTTCCGTTTTTCAATTTATTTTTATAATTCTAGATGTTTTCATTTCTCAGTTTTCCGATGTTTCAGTTTTTCAATTTCTCAATTCTTCGACTCTTCAATTTTTCCGATTTCTCAATTTCTCCATTAATTGATTTTACGATTTTCCCATTTCTCAATTTCTCGACTTCTCAATGTTTCAATTTTTCGATTTTCACTTTTTTTGGTTTATTAAATTTTCAATTTCTCAATTTTTTGATTTGTTAATTTTCGATTTCTCAATTTTTCGATATTTTAATTTTTGAATTTTTAAGATTCTAGATTTCGATTCTTACATTTTTTCGGTTCTTCAAATTTTCGATTTTTTCATTTTTTGATATCTCTATTTTACGATTTTTCAGTTTTCCGATTTTTCGTAATTTCAGCTTTTGAATTTTTCAATTTTTGGATTTTTCAGTTTTTCTTCAAATTTTCGGTTTCTCAATTTTACGATGTTTCAGTTTTACGATTTTGCAATTTTTCGACACCAATTTTTTTTTTGAAATTTTTCAGGTTTTGACGTTTCTAAATTTTCAATTTTCCGATTTGTTAATTTCTCGGATATTTGATTTTTTGATTTTCCTCTTTCTCGATTTCTCGACTTTTCTGTTTTTCGAATTTTCAATTTTTTAATTTCTAAATTTTTTGATATCTTAGTTTTGGGATTTTTCAATTTTTCGGTTTTTCAATTTTTCTTCCACTTTTCAATTTTTTCGATATTTCAGTTTTGGGATTTTTCGATATTGGGATTCTTCGATTTTTCGATTTAGCGATTTTTAGTTCGATTTAGTTTTTAATTTTTTTAAATTTAGATTTTTCAATTTCTCGATGTTTCTTTTTTTTTTGATTTTTCAATTTTTTTATTTTTTACTTTTTACGTTTTTTTCAGTTTTAGATTTATCGATTTTTTTTTCATTTAAAATTTTTTAACTTTTATATTTTGGCCTCTTTCGATGTTTTTCAATTTTTCAATATTTCGACTTTTCAACTTTCTTATTTCTCAAGTTTTCTATCTTTTGACGTTCCGGCTTTTCGATTTTCCAATTTTTCGATGTTTTCGATTTTTCAGTGTTTCGACTCTTGAATTTCTTGATTTATCAGTTTTTCGGTTTCACACAGTTTTTTCTTCAATTTTTCGATTCAGTTTTTTCAATTTTTAAACTTTTCAGTTTTTGACGTTTCTAAATTTTCAGTTTTTTGTAAATTTTTTGATGTTTCAGTTTTGGGATTGTTTAGGTTTTCGCTTCTTCAATTTTTCTTCCACTTTTCAATTTTTCGATATTTTAGTTTTCCATTTCTCAATTTCTCGATCTTTCGATTTCTTTTGTTTATTTGGATTTTTCAATTTTTCAATAATTCGACTTCTAAACTTTTTTATTTTCGATTTTTCAAACTTTCGACGTTCCGGCTTTTCCATTTTCCAATTTTTCAATACATATTTTCGATTTTTCAGTTTTTCGATTCTTCAAATTTTCGATTTCTTAATTTTTTCATTTTTCGTTTTCTAAATTTTCTGATGATTTTTCCGTTTTTCCACCCTTGAATTTTTCAATTTTTGGAACTTTCAGTTTTTCAAATTTTCGATTTCTCAATTTTCCGATGTTTCAGTTTTACGATTTTTCAATTGTTGAATTTCAGTTTTTGACGTTTCCCAATTTTCAATTTCTCGATTATTTGTTTTTTTTATTTTCGTGTTTCTCGATCTCTCAACTTTTCTGTTTTTCAATTTATTTTGATAATTTTGAATTTCTCAAATTTTTCATTTTTCGATTTTTCAGTTTTTCGACTCTTGAATTCGAAATTTCAACGGTCGATTCTGGAAAAACGGTTGCATGTATCAAAAAACCGAAGCCGGATTTGAGTTCTAGAGCTCGAAATCTACGAGAAAATGGATTTAGTTGAGTTTCGAAAATGTCAAAATTTTTGCGAAATTTGAGGAAGGAGGAACCATTAAAAAATTTCAATTTTTAAAAAGTTGTCTCAAAAATTATGAAAAAATTCAGAGACGTAGATCTCGACACGCTGATTCCAAAAATATAGCATCTTGATGGTCACGAAGCAACATTTTCGAAAAAATCTCTGCGAAATGCGAATTGAAAATTTCAAAAATTTCGAAATTTCAACGGTCGATTCTGGAAAAACGGAATTTTTTGAATTTTCATTTTCACAATTTTCCGATAATTCAGATTTTTTCATTTTTCAATTTTTTAATTTTCCGATGTTTCAGTTTTTCGATTTCTCAATTTTTCGACTCTTGAATTTTCAATTTTTGACGTTTATGAATTTTCAGTGTTACGGTTTTTCAATTTTTCGATTCTTCAATTTTTCGATATCTCAATTTTCCCATGTTTCAGTTTTACATTTTTTTGACTCTAATTTTTTGTATTTTTAAATCTTTCTGTTTTTGACGTTTCTAGATTTTCAATTTTTCGATTTTCCTGTTTCTCGATTTCTCGACTTTTCTGTTTTTCAATTTTTCGATTTCTAAACTTTTTGATGTTTCAGTTTTGGGATTTTTCATTTTTTCGATATTTCAGTGTTAGTATTTTGCAATATTAGGATATTTATTGCTATTAAATTATTATTATTTTGGTTTTTCAATTTTTGATTTATCGATTTTTAATTTTTCGGTTTTCAACTTTGGTCGATTTCGATTTCTTAATTTTTCAATATTTCAACTCCTCAACTTTTTCATTTTTTCGATGTTTTCGATTTTTCAGTTTTTGAATTCTTCAGTTTTCCGCTATTTTAATTTTTGCGATTTTTTGATTTCATGTTTTTTCGATTTCTCGTTTTTTCAATTCATTCATATTTCTGTTTTTCTATTTTTTGAGTTTTTAGATTCTTAATTTTTCAGTTTTTTGATTTCTCAATGTCTCGAGTTATCGATATTCCGAGGTTTCAACTTTTCGAGTGTTCAATCTCTGGATATTTTGATTTTTCGAAAAGGATATTTTTCCGTTCCCCCCCCCCTTTCCTTCCTATTTTTTCTTTCTTTTTTTTTCTCCTCCCTTTTCTTTATGGCTTTCTTATATCACTGTTTTGTCATGTTTTTGTCATTTTTGGTTCCTATTTAACGTCTCGGGCACCAATTTTTTTAAATGTTACTACTAGAAATCACTATTATTAAAAAAAAAACGTCATTCCTCTCTGTTTCAACCAGGTTGCCCCCTACTCCGTCACCTTCCCCGAAGAAGACGAGGACGAATGGGACACCTCCAAGGGCATCCGTGTAATGGGCCTCGCCTACGTCCCCGACTACTCCCAATCGGCCTTCTCCTGCATCGCCGCCCCCGACGGCGAAATCACTGACTACCTCCGCCTGCCCCACATCCTCAAGCGCAAAAACAGCTACAAGCCCGACGAGAAGCTCCTCAAAGAGTCCGACATCGCCGCCTTACGCAACTTCATCAACACCAAAAAGCCGCACGTCATCGCCGTCGGCGGCGAATCGCGCGAGGCCCTCATGATCGCCGACGACCTGCGCGCCATCATCACCGACCTCGTCGAGAACGAGCAGTTCCCCACCATCAAGGTCGAGATCGTCGACAACGAGCTCGCCAAGGTCTACGCCATCTCCAACAAGGGCGTCTCCGACTTCCGCGACTACCCAGAACTGCTGCGCCAGGCCATCTCGCTGGCCCGGAAAATGCAGGACCCGCTCATCGAGTACTCGCAGCTGTGCAACGGCGACGAGGAGATCCTCAGCCTGCGCTTCCACCCGCTGCAGGAACAAATCACCAAGGAGGAACTCCTGGAGGCGGTGTGCTTGGAGTTCGTGAACAGGACGAACGAAGTGGGGGTGGACGTGAATTTGGCCGTCCAGCAGGCGCACAAGTCGAACCTGGTGCAGTTCATTTGCGGGTTGGGGCCGAGGAAGGGGCAAGCGTTGCTGAGGTTGCTTAAACAGACCAATCAGAGGTTGGAGAATCGGACACAGTTGGTGACGGCGTGTCACATGGGGCCGAAGGTGTTCATCAACTGTTCGGGGTTTATTAAGATTGATACGAACAGTTTGGGGGATAGTACGGAGGCGTACGTGGAGATTCTGGACGGGTCGAGGGTGCATCCGGAGACGTACGAGTGGGCGAGGAAGATGGCCGTGGATGCGCTGGAGTACGATGATGATGAGGGGGCGAACCCTGCAGGGGCTTTGGAGGAGATTCTGGAAGCGCCGGAGAGGTTGAAGGACCTGGATCTGGACGCGTTCGCGGAGGAGTTGGAGCGGCAAGGATTCGGTGAGTAGAGTGTGAGAAAGTCGGTGATTATCATTGGTTTCGGGTTTATTCGTAGGGAATAAGAGCATCACGCTTTATGATATTAGGGCGGAGTTGAACTGTAGATACAAGGATTTAAGGACGCCTTTCCGCTCCGCCAACCCGGAGGAGCTCTTCGATATGTTAACGAAAGAGACTCCAGAGACGTTCTACATCGGAAAAATGGTCACAGCAACAGTTGTTGGTAAGTTTAAGCATTGCTTAATTATATTATAGTTGGGCAACCTATACGGACAATCACTTTCCCATGTAGAAAAGAATGAATATACATTTTACATCTCACTCGCTTCACTATGAAGTGGCGGTACCTTACGAAAGGGGGTAAAAATAGTCTTTAAGCACGTGATGTCGATAAGGTAGTAAACGGACGTATTAATTAATTAGTACGTTGTACAATCGCACGCAAATGTTTGGAGCCTATGGGCGGATCGTTTTTGCCTGCCCTCACCGAAGAAGGCGGTCCAAATCCTTCAAGGGCAGAATTTGTAGGTAGGCTCAAACTACAACGAAATTCACATTTTACCCTATAAAATTTAATTGACAATAACGGGACGGACAGTAGTTATATATACATTTGGTAAGAAATATTTATGGCTCACACCAGTTCTCTCGAATTTGTCGGAGAAGATTTAGCAGGTAGTTGTTCCCATAAAATAATGGTCATTTTCTTTTGTGAGTAACGATGGTTCGGACATGAATTACTTTGCTTTCTAACATCTTTCGACTAATTGTTCCGTATAAAAAATTTCATCACTTTTTCAAATAAAATACTCTTAAAAAAATTGGTCTAAAGAGTTTAGACAGTACTTCCCTCGCTGTCGGAAACTTGACGACTACATGCCTATTGTGTTTTTTTTCTCATTACATTTTTGTAGTGGGAATTTAAAAAAAAATTGCGATGACGTCATCAACATTTTTGCAAGGACACGTATATCAGTTGGGATAGATGTAGTGTAATACTAAGAATAAGATTATTATATTCTCAAATTTTCGGGAAAATGAATTGGGTCGTTTTGAATATTGATTTGTAATAATCAATAAAATAACGAAACAATTTACTCACGTATACGTATCAGAGGCAACTGAAAATCGTGTATGTATAAACATTCTTAATTTAAGATGACAGGCGTAACAGCATACGTGAGAGTCAAACAGAGAAACTGTAAACAAAACGACCATCGGTTTTATTGCTTCGACTTCCGCTTATTATATAAAACATTGGGTTTTATTTTAATTCTTACGGTGAAATTCACAATTGGTTGATTATAAACATGTCTATTTCACATTCGCGGAACCAAGTGAGCGCATAAAACAAATGCAGGTCTGTAATGTTAAAGTCGATGTAAATAAGCGTGCTACCCTTATGTTTCAACCGAGTTTTTCCTTTAACAAATTTTGTGTCTACCAAATTGGGTTGGTTGGGGTGTAATACTAATAATAAGTGTTGCCTTTAATTTAATCAATAAAATAAATTGACTTCATTAATTTTTTTGAACCACCTCTTAAGAAAATCTAAAAAATATGAATGGAATGATAAATCACAAGTACAAACTCATCATATTTTTTGCATTTTAGATAAGATTTATTCAGCAAAATTTAAGGGTGACGTCATCAGTTTTTTTAGGAGGGATGAACAAATACATTTTGAACAAAAGTTTACCATGCTTATAATAACTTTAAAATATTCCCAAGATTTCAAAGCATTCGGTTTTCTAATTCCTGATTAAATCGATAAAATAAATTCACGCCTTCATTAATTTTTTTGAGTCACCCTGCATATGCAAATCCAAAAATATGATTGGAATGATAAATCACAAGTACAGACTCATCATATTTTGTACATTTTAGATACGATTTATTCGGCAAACTTTTGAGCTGACGTCATCAGTTTTTTGTAGAAGATAACCAAATATATTTTGACTAAAAATTTATTATGCTCTTTATAACCTTAAAACATCTGCAAGATTTCAAAGCATTCGGTTTTGTAGTTCCTGATTAAATCAATAAAATAAATTTACGCATTCATTAGTTTTTTTGAGTCACCCTGTATATGCAAATCGAAAAAATTTGAATGGAATGATAAATCACAAGAAGAGACTCACCATATTTTGTACATTTTAGATAGGATTTTTTCAGCAAAATTTTGTGGTGACATAAATTTTTTAGGGGGGACGACCAAATACGTTTTGATCAAAAATTTACCATGCTTATGATAATTTTAAAATATCTTCAAGATTTCGAAGCATTCGGTTTTGTAGTTCCTGAGTAAATCAGTAAAATAAATTTACGCTTTCATTTATTTTCTTGAATCACCCTGTATATATGCAAATCCAAAAAATATGAATGGAGTGATAGATCACAAGTACAGACTGATCATATTTTGTACATTTTAGATATGATTTATTCGGCAAATTTTCGAGCTGACGTCATCAAGTTTTTGGAGGGGATAAGCAAATATATTTTGACTAAACATTTATTATGCTCTTTATAACCTTAAAACATCTGCAAGATGTCAGAGCATTCCGTTTTGTAGTTCCTGATTAAATCAATAAAATATATTTACGCATTCATTAATTTTTTTGAGTCACTCTGTATATGCAAATCCAAAAAATATGAATGGAGTGATAGATCACAAGTACAGACTCATCATATTTTGTACATTTTAGATATGATTTATTCCACAAACTTTTGAGCTGACGTCATCAAGTTTTTGGAGGGGATAAGCAAATATTTTTTGACTAAAGATTTATGATCCTCTTTATAGCCTTAAAACATCTGCAACATTTCAAAGCATTCTGGTTAGCAGATTAAAAATTAAATTTCAAAATGTTGTTTTATAATTCTGATTTTTTTTCCAAAAATCTGGACGTTTCGGGTGAAAAGTCGATTCAGAGTTGTAAACTACATGTGTAGGACTATGTTATTTTATACAATTGAAAACCCATTTACTATGTACAATTTTGAAGTGACGTCATCGCATTAGTGGTGGGGATGATTAGACAAATTTTGGTTAGCGTTTTACCATCTACATGATATTCTTAATATAAGTAAATTTCACAACAATCGGTCGAGTACTTTCGGAGATTATCTGTCTAATAAAAATCCGGGACAACAGACGGACAGACGGACGGAAGACGGACGGACAGACGGACAGACAGACGGAAATGGGAGACCTATTTCTTCGTCTTCTAGGGGTCATGAAAGATTGAGAAAACGTAAAAGTAGAGAGTCGGCCGACGGACTCGATTACAATACTTCCTTTGCTTACGCTCGGGAAGTAAAAAACGATATTGTTGTTGAGTGACATGTAACTGGCATAATAATAAAAACGTGCCATTTTTGTTAACTGATATTTTTTCATAAATGTCGCAAAATTATTAAATTTGTCTAATCATCCCCACCAATAATGTGATGACGTCACTTCAAATTTATGCTTAGTAAATGGGTTTTAAATTGTATACAGTAACATAGTCCTACACATGTAGTTTATGACTCCGTGTTGAGTTTTTATCCAAAACGTCCAGATTTTTGGAAAAAAAATCCAAATTATAAAACAATATTTTGCAAGTTAATTTTGAATTTGCAAAATCGAATACTTTGAAATCTTGCAGATGTTTGAAAATCATGATAAACATGATACATTTTTAATTAAAATATATTTGCTTATCCCCTCTAAAAAATGTATGACGTCACCTCAAAATTTTGCAGAATAAATCCTATCTTGAATGTATAAAATATGATGAGTTTTATACTTGTGATTTATCACTGCATTAATATTTTTTAGATTTGGTTATACAGGGTGTCCCAAAAAAGTTAATGACCGAGTCAATTTATTTTATTGAAGAAATCAAGAATAGCAAAACTGAATACTTTGAATTATTGTACAGAGTCATCAAAATTGATTGAGAGAGTTGGTAAACCTGAACTTGAATAATTTGGTTTATTAAGTTGTATAAAAATATTAGCTGTCAGATTTGAAGTTTCAAGTTTCAAATTTCAAAACTCAGTGGCGTCTTTTTTCGACTTTTTTTTTGGTAAAAACATTAGTTGTCACATTTGAAGTTTCTAATTTTTGTCACGCCACTGAATTCATTGCCATATAACCTTAAACAAATCTGTCATAAGGTTGACAAACTTCACAACAAAAACAGGGGGTACCAACTCTCTCAATCAATTTTGATGACCCTGTAGATGTTTTGAAGTTTTTGTAAGCATGGTAACTTTTTCGAAAATTTGATTAATCAAATATGCGCAAAATCAAAAATCGGAAAAACTGAAATTCACTAATGCAAAAAACAGAAAATCGAAAATTCAATGAATCAAATACCGAGGTCGATCGAAAAGTGGAAATTCACAAACCTCAAAAATCGAAAATTGAAAAACGGGAAAACCAAAAAATCGAAAAGTCAAAAATTTGTAATATTGAAAATTAAAAAAATCAAAAACAAAAATAAAAAAATCGAAAATTAAAATAATCAAAATATATAAAGTAAAAAAAATTGCAAAGTCTAAAAACTGAAACGAACAGAAAAATCGAAAAAGCAAAAAATTGGAAAAACAAAAATTCGAAAAATCTAAAATCGAAAAAGTGGAAAATGGAAAATCTGAATAAACTTGAAAATTCTGAAAATTGGAAAATCGAAAACCAAAAAATCGGAAAGTAACAAAATTGAAGTCTAACAGTTGAGAATGGAAAAATTGAAAAGCGCAAAATTTAAATTGAAAAATTGAACATGGAAAAATCGATGAATTGAAAAATCGAAAATTCGACCACTCAAATTTTCGAAAAATCATAAAACTGAAAAATCCAAAATTCCAATCATCGAAAGTCTGAAAACTGAAAATCGAAAATTCTGAAAAGCGGAAAATAGAATATCGAAAAATTTAAAAGAAAGAAAATTGAAGTCTAAAAACCGAAGAATGGAAAAATTAAAAACCGAAAATCGAAAATTCAATGAATCTAATACGTAGGTCGATCGAAAAACTGGAAATTCACAAATCTGAAAAATCGAAAATTTGCAAGATTGAAAAACCGAGAATTGAAAAATCAAAAAACCGAAAAATGGAAAAATCAAAAATCGAAAAATAGGAAAACCGAAAATTCGAAAATTCATAATATTGAAAACTCCAAAAGTCGACAATTCAAAAATCAAAAAACTGGAAAGTAAAATAATCGAAAAATCG